TACTTTGGTATATTACATTTGGACTCAACACACTCAATCACTATTAGCCGTGAAATCCTCGACAGCAACACCAAAGTAATATACCAGAACAGCAACTACACGCATCTTAAAATTGAAGAAGCAGTCGTAATTGGCATCAATAAACCAAAAATAAATATACAACAAAAAATGACAACCTCACTTCCAACTCACTTCCTCACTTCCAATATTGTAAAAATTATGGTCTATTATCATTTCAAAATCATTTGTAAACCGGGCATTCACACACTCTTCCGATATTGAAAATCGCGACGCTGAATTAAAGAGGGTCACTAACCTGCTTGTTCAAATCAAAACTTAGATTTACCATTGAAAGTGAAAAGGAACAACGTTTACCTTTCCTCGATGTGTTGGTCACCCGTGGCGAAGAACGATTCAAAACCGCGGTCTATGTCAAAGAAACGAATACAGGAATTTGTTTGAATGGACAAAGTGAATGCACTGAACAATTTAAAGACAGCACAATAAAATCATTTGTGAACCGGGCATTCACATACTCTTCCGATATTGAAAATCGCGACGCTGAATTAAAGAGGGTCACTAACCTGCTTGTAAACAATGGATATAAGACTTACTCTATCGAAAAAATTGTTAAAAACAAATTACTACACAGCAATAACCTTCCTAGTATCAACAATCAAGATAACGACATCATCTTGTATTACAGAAATCACATGTCAACAGCATACAAGGTAGATGAAGCTATTCTTAAGCATATCATCAATAAAAATGTCACACCAACCAACCCAAATAGTAAAGTTAAACTCCGAATTTATTACAACAATAAAAAGACGTCTCACCAAATACTGAAAAACAACTGCAGTCCTAGAGATAACTCTGAGTTAAAGCGTAATCACGTAATATATGAATTTAATTGCCCCTTTGACGGCTGTGCACGTCAACATGACTCATATATCGGGATTACTACTACCTCACTGACTAGAAGGCTTACGATGCATAAACAGAGTGGTGCTATCAAATCTCATTTGGACTCAACACACTCAATCACAATTAGCCGTGAAATCCTCGACAGCAACACCAAAGTAATATACCAGAACAGCAACTACACGCATCTTAAAATTGCAGAAGCAGTCCTAATCGACATCAATAAACCAAAAATAAATATACAACAAAAAATGGCAACCTCACTTCCAACCCGGCGCTTAACCAACAACGAAAACAAAGAAGTAATAAAAACTAGCATCGTAAATAGTGACAAAGTAGAATATGATGCTATCGATGAAGAAAAGGAGACCAAAGAAGATGACCTGACACCTAATTCGCATCAAAGTTTAATTTTACAACACCAAAGTTAATTTTTAAAACGTCAAAGTTAATCTTGACAAAGTCAATATTTTCCTATATATACAAGAAGGAGCACTGACGATGATTCATTCGGAATCGAAATATGGCCTTATTTGCACCATGAATTCGAAAAATAAGTTTATTTTGAATTTTAATAAACTAAACGTTCACCAAAAAACTTTAGTGAGAAAAATCGAAAAAACGAACTACAAACATATTAACGCCAAACATTCGGTAGAATTTATAGAATATTGTAAAAATTATTGTCTATTACCAACATATATATATATATATATATATATATATATATATATATATATATATATATATATATATATATATATCATTGATGAAAATCGCAGCATGTTCGGCGTTAGTCAACTTCCAATTTAACTTTTCGATTTTATGATTCCTTGTTTGTTTAAAACTAAGTATTGCTGTGAAAACTATGTATTCACTTTAAACAAACAAGGAATCACAGAAGTAGAGTAGAGGCACATTATATAAATTTGAGCATCTGAGCACAAACACAACATATCAATTTGAACACCGAAGATGAAGAACACCGAAAAAAACTTTTTTGTTCTATCATGCCTAAAATAAACAAAAATTTTAGTTTGGAACTAAAGAAACTTGAAAATGATTTACGTTCGAAAAGTTAAATTGGAAGTTAAGGTTTTTAAAACATGCTGTGATTTTTATCAATAATTGCTTTTCTGACAATCTTAATCCTATATACATATATTGGGTTTAGACTATCATAAATACAATTATTTATAAAGATCACTGCGTTTTCGTCATTATTCAACTTGTAGTTGAGTTTCTAACGAAACTTTTCATCAAGATGATAAAAGTCTGTCTCGTTAGAAAAATTGAGAAACTCAACTACAGGTTGAATAATGCCGAAAACGCAGTGATCTTTGTAAATAATTGTATGTATATATATATATATATATATTATATATGAGTGTGTATGTTTTAATATTCATAGGTTTTAAAAACGCACCCACAATGACAGATAGATTAGTTTTGGATTTTAGTAAAAATGATATCTGAAATTTTATAACAATTAGACTTAAAAAGAAGAAACGTTCTACTCCCGTTTGTTGCTTTCAAAAAATGATTTTCAGTTCAGACTACCCACAGACGCAAGGTTATATTCATTGTCTAATAAGATTGTCGGTGATTCCTCGCTATGTCCGGGTCTGGAAATGAATATTCTACAGTAGTGCCACGGCTGCTCTTGGTGAAAATTCTGATCTGAAGAAATGATGGCAGAGTCATGATGTTTTAATATCTAAATCTTTATGAGCTGCTTAGAAATAACAACTGTGAACATCTTTTGATTGTTATACAAATTTTTCTTTGCATCTGCGACTAATTTCATTTGTGAAAAATTATGTGCTGTGAATTTTATGTTTCTTACAACTTGGATAATTTCATTTATGAACAATTATCCGTTATAGTGGTGTTCTGGTATTATTCCGTGTTTAGTGTCTTTGAGAGATATTTTAAAAAGGCGTTTTATAATACTCTAATAATAATAATAATATAGTAATAATAATAATAATAATGTAATGAAATAAACATTTATTAAACGTTTTCAAACGTTTTTATAAATAAAACTTTAAATGAATTATTTAAATCAACAAAATGTTTTTACCCTCTTTCTGTTTACACTCTTTCACTGACACTGAAAAGAGGCCTAAAAACTGAGTTCTTACTTAAGGTAAGAACTCAGTTTTGTCACCGTAAGTTTGTGTTGATTTAAGGTACAATTTATGTTATTTAAATAAATTAACTAAATCAGCAAACAATAAATAATGTTTTAAACACTAGAGAAAAAAGTTTTATAATATTTTTTTTAATATGGTATTTTTTCAGCCCGATATTTATAGAACGTTTGCCATTTTTTCTATTACCTTTTGTCTGCCAGTATGCTCAGTGCTTGCAATCATCGACTCGATCTTGGTTGGCATCTTCGTGTTTTTCAATGTGTTACATAAATACTTTACAAGATAGATCTAATTTAAAGATTTCACGTACTTATACAAAACATTTTAATTGTAACATTTCAATTTTATGAATAATATTGAAATATGAAATAATAATATTTAAAAAAATTATAGTCCAACTATTGCAAAAATACTGGAAACATCCTCAAACTGATTTTACCAATCGCAGTCCTGCTTCTGGCAATTATTGAATTTGTTGTTATTTTACTGTCTTGGTACAAATGTAAAGAACTTTCCGACAATGAATATCAGTACATAGGCAGTACGTACACTGTTTATGAAACTTACGAACCCGTTTACGAAAAAAAAAACTTAGTTTCAACACTTGAGACTACGCCAGTTCACGATTCCTGCTGTAATGGATCTCAACCAGTTGTTATTGTTAATCAACAACCTATCAGTCAACAACCAGTTCTACCAATGGTATTTATAAATATTTTTGTACAATTCTCTCTTGATTAACTTAAAAAAATTAATATCACCAACACAGCCATAGTGTCAAAGGTTTTGGTTAAATTTAACACAATGTTTATATAAATTTTAATGAAATTTGTTTAACAGTTAATTTAAATAAAACATTTATTTCAATACAAAAACTGGCAAAAATATAGAAAAAAGGCAAAAGAAAGCCTCTTGACTAAAAATTTATGGCTACACTACTGCACACAGCCGATGTAAACACACGTAAATCAATGCATTAAAGACTACGCATGATAGACTAGGATGACTTCTGAATTCAAAAGCGGTCACTGTAACACCTGTCACTAAACCATCGAGCAGAAAATTTGATTATAACAATTCGTGAACAACTTTTAATTTTATTTGTAATATGATAGATTTGGCTAGATTGTGGACGAGTGTATTAGCGTACCAGATTTGAAAAATTTTGTATTTAATTTAGATAATTAATTACATTTTTTCATTTTGTTAGATTATGCCTTCGCGACCAGTTGTTAAAGTACCAGTGCCTATCAAAATACCTGTCAAAATTCCATTTTCTGGAAGACCGCCGGTCAAATTTAAAAGTTTTGTATCTCAACAAAGATATTACCCATCACAAGTGTATGGTCCCAATTTTGGAAAAAGTCCTAACACGTATGGAAAGATGTATTTACCTCCACCTGGGACATATCATGTTAACTCTGCATATACTGCATTTAACATTTAATTTTCAAATTTTGATTCGAAACTCAAATGAATTTTCAAAAGTGTTAGTTAAAAATTTGAAGATTCAATGATATTTCAAGAAATCCTTTACGGATTTTATTTAAAAAAAAAACAACATTGTTATTAATATTGCAAAATAAAATTTAATTTCATGTCATAATTTTATTTTTATAAATGAAAAAATTCAAATTGGATAGTAAAACAGAAATTATTATTACAAATAAGGATTATTTAATAATCTTGTTGATAGAGTTCAGCTGAACCCTTTAATAAATGATGCCTCAAAAAAAAAACCAAAACTATTTTTTAAATTAATCGGTGTTTTGTTTTTACCAGATTTGATGGTACTAATAATCAATCTTTCTTCTTTTATCAACATCAGAATTTTTTTAGTTGTTTGATGTTCAGTCCCATTGATCTTTTCCAGCTGTCTCCAAATCAAATGCCTTTAATCGGTCGATGGTCCTCTTTCCTGACCAGGTTTAAGAAGCATTAACAATAGAGATTTCTTCATTTCTCTTTCAGCGTTTCAGATAGTATTTTTTCCAGCCTAGTGGTTAAGGTCGCTTGATGCTGTTTCACAGTGACCAAGTTCGATTCGAATATGACAAAAAGATTCCCACCTATAACATGCTTCGTATGTGATGCGTTGATTAGCACGTATTCATATACGATGTTCTCTGCAACACTTCTTTCCAGGGCGACCATCTGCCCTGTTGACTTTGCTGCACTGATGCCACCACTCTTTCTCTCTTGTACTCATTACGTCTTTCTTCAATAATCATTTGAATTTTTGTTTTGTTGTTGACCTTGGACTACCACCTATTTTGAAACCAGCCTACGCCGTGTTTTGCGCTTTTCACTGCTCCAACAATTTCCTTAAGTTTCAAAGATTATTTTGCCAAGTCTAATCTATTTCATTTGTGGCTATCCGTTTTCCCCGTTTTCAAGAGTGGCTTAAACCAGGTTATACATTGGTCTGCCGAGTTGTCAAGCATTCATTGATGTTTGATGATGATGATGATGATCCATTGATCCATTGACAAGCGATGACAAACCCGCAGGTAGACCAAGACATTTTTTTGTATAACGGTTAATTTTCTTTTCCATTTTTTTTTACTGTGTTAAGGTTGAACTTATACACTGACATAGGCCATAGTAGTTTTGGAATCACCACCAACTGCATCAACCAGACTTTAAACTTACCCCACACATTCTGGCTGTCCACGGTTTCCACGTACTGCTTAGATAAATTCAGCAGTTCTCCTTTTTCTTCTGAATTTTTCAAAGATGAGTGGTACCATTTGCCCAAACTTTTGACCAAATTTTGAAGCAAAGTTAAAATCATTTGACCGGGCTTTGAGATTTTTCCGGCTTGAACTTTATTTCACTCCACATCAACTCATCTAGCGTCTGCAAAATTTTCTTACAGTTTCACGCTGAGTTTGTCAAAAAACAATATTGTCGTCCATAAATGCTTTCAACGAAGGCATACAAACACATCCACTCAAGTTAACTTTGTAATAAAGCATCCAACATGACTTGCATTGCCAAACCAAACAGGGTTGGTTAAATAGAACAGCCCATAGCGATTTAACTAGATCCAATCCGAAGTGAAGTCGCTCGTAGTAAGTCGCATCCTGAACCCGCTGAAATAATTTAACAAAATGTCGATAATTTTACCAGGAACATGAAATATCTGCATAGCAGATTGTGCGGTACAGCGCTATAAGCATTTACTAGATCCGACCAGACAACGACTCAGTCTGTTTGTTTTTGCTCGTTGGATTGCTTCCCAGATCATTGATGCGTGTTTCAAGCATCCTGGAACACTTGGAATTCTTCCCTTTTGTACAGAGGTATCAACGTATTTATTTATATTTAGAAAGCTATTGGCAATGATTGCAAAGAACAGTTTATTTTGATATCATTGAATTTCTTTCTCTTTATACTGTTTTTATGCTGATTCTATTCATTATATTTGTATTAATTTTTGTAGCCTTCACGCAAGTTTAAGTTCAAAATTCTGTTTATATTTAAGGACTTTTAATGTTATTGTTCTGTTTAACGGTGGTATATCATAAGATCTTTTTTCTTTTTTGATCTCCGTATCATTATTTTCATTTCTTACATTTGTTTGATTTGAATTAATGAATAAAATTGAATAAATAAATAATATATATATATATATATATATATATATATATATATAATTTGGAACGAGGTTTTCGGATAAGCAGGTTTTATTAAAAATAATTCCCCAAATTGTTATTACTTTTTTGAATAATAATTCAACACGTCGTAGATTGGTAGATTCAACTTTATTTAAAACAACGCTTTTGCTGACGGCCGTTTCGGCTAGTGCCATCGTCAGAGCCTGAGTCAAATTGTTAAAACATAAAATCACGAAAAAAATTACTTTTAAACATGCAGAAATATATGAGTGAATGCAATTACCTTGGTGAAACCAACATATTTTAAACTATTAAATAAAATTAAATAAATAGTATAGAATTAGTGAAATAAAATAAAATAAAACAAAATCGTATTGAAAAATTTTGAAAGTGTGGTTGGTGGCATAGTGCAGTTATTATATTAATTATGGAAAGTTTAATTTTAATATTTATGGAAAGTTAAGTTTGATGGTATATAAATACATTATTAAGATAATTATTAAGATGATAGGCTTAAATTGTTAAAATCCTATAATATTAAATATATAATGTAATAAATAAGATAGCTAAAATAATATTAAGTGATAAAATATTGAAAATATTGAAAAATATATAGTATTGTTGGTGATAATGATAATAGACGGTCATAAAATATATTATATATTACATCCCGTATAATGATGCCAGGGAACAATCCGCTCGAGACCGACGGCGTTCGGTCACAAATGGATGATCGATGGCGCAGTGGTGCGGTGTGGGCTTGTTGTACTCGTATTTGTTTTTGGTCGGAGTTTGTTTATTACCGTTAACCATAAATTTGGAAACATGAATATTGTAGTATGATTTTTGCTTTTTATTATGTTGATTTACTTTATGGTCGTTTTTTCAGCAATTTTTAAAATTTTAATATTAATTTATTTTGTTTAATTCTAATATATATCTATGCAAATAATTTAAAATTAATTTTATCAATATGTTAAATATATAGTATATAATAATTAATAATAATATTTTCAAAAATGTTTCGCGCTTAAAATTAAGTTATACTGTATGACGTCATTTATTTATAAACGGTAATTTTCGTTATTATTTAAAAATATTTTGCTCTGACGATGATATATTTTATATCGAAAAAGCTTTTTGCAATTACTTATATTAATAATCATGAACAATAATAATTTTAGTTTTTTACTTAATAAATTAAATAATTATAATAAAATTTTAATTAGAAAACTTGAAAAATTAATGTATAAACATAATAATTGTATTTACGCGGTTGATTTTATTGAAAACTGTATCGAATATGGTCTAAATCCTAATTTCACAAGAATATATATATATATATATATATATATATGTATATATATATATATATATATATATATTTTGATTATATGAACGATTTTGCTACATTCTTTTATGACAAAATTAAAAATGTTAAAAAATGTACAAGAATCGATGGTGCATGATGAGAAGTTTGATCATTCATCTGGTGTTTGCTGCAGCAACTTGTTTTCAGTTTTTCTTGTTTATGACGAAAGCGAAATTGTTGAATCAGTTTTGAACTCTCCATCTAAAACATGTTCACTGGATTGTGTTCTTTCACACTTTTTCAAAAAATATGTAAAATTGTTTTCAAAATATTTGACTGATTTTATAAACTTATGTTTACGCACTGGTGAGTTTTTGGCTATGTTAAAGCATGTTACAATTTCTACTTTTTTGAAAAAGAAAAAATTAGACAATTCTGATCTTAATAATTATAGACCGGTTTCAAATCTGTCGTTCATGTCAAAATTAATTGAAAGATTAGTTTCTAAGGAGCTTATGAAACACTTAGATAAAAACAATTTGTTACCGGTATATCAGTCTGGTTATAGAAAACATCATTCTACCGAAACTGCTTTGTTGCATGTGTTATCTAAGTTGCATGAAAATATAAACGACAGAAAACCATCTTTTCTTTGATTCTTAGATATGAGTTCGGCTTTTGACTGTGTCGACCATTGCATTCTTCTGAAACGTCTTAATCATAGATTTGGACTAACTGGTTCTGTCGAGCAATGGTTTCGGTTGTACTCAACAGACATAACACAGCAGGTAATCTACGCAAATAAGACCTTTTCGGTTCAAACGATAAGATTTGGTGTTCCACGGAGCTCGGTTCTCAGACCGATCTTGTTTATTCTTTACACCTCTAAAATTATTATTGAGGCAATCAGATTACATGGTTTGGAGTGTCATGCATTTGCAGATGATATTCAGCTATTCGCCACAGAATTGTATAGCAACTTTCATCTTGTAGTTGATCGTTTTGCCAAGAGATCAAGAAATGGATGACAAATAATCGTCTTAAGCTCAATCAAAGCAAGACGCAAATTCTTTTGGTTGGAACTTGGCAACAGCTGCTTAGAATTAAAATTTATTCAGTTATCATTGAAGGCTCAAATATAAACTTCATTCCCAAAACTACAAACTTGGGTGTCATTTTTGATTCTAGGCTGGCAATGACTGAACATATCAAGTTTTTATCTGGAACTGCAACCCTACAACTGCAAAAATTAAAAATAATCCGCAAAAGCTTAACCAGAGATGTTATTCAAAGTTACTTGCATTCGTTTATTCATTCTAGACTGGATTACTGCAACAGCCTATTTTATGGTTTGCCTGAAAAATCGTTAACAATGCATACTATTTATTGTATAATAATATTTGTGGACAACAATTGCTATTGAATGAGCTTGAATTTGAAGGTGTACAAATATTTATGATTGATATGAGGTCAAATAAACCTATTTATTTAGTTATCATTTTTTATTTTATTTAT